TGTGTGTGTGTGTGTGTGTGTGTGTGTGTGTGTGTGTGTGTGTGTGTGTCCCAACCTTACTGGTCAGAGATACTTTTTCCCTAAGGTTGAAGATAAGATCATAGAACTGTCAGAAACCTTGGGGCCATCTAGTTCAACCCCTTCATTTTACAGATAGAGGAAACTGAGGCCTGAAAATGAAGACAGCAAGAAGAGACTGAGATTGACACTCAAGCCCTTGGACTCTGAATCTTATGCTCTTTCCACTACCCGGGCCCTCTGCAGGAAAAGTCAGCCACCCTGTGGAGATGGAGCAGACTCCAGGCCCTGAGCGGAGCATCCTAGGAACAAGGCTGACAAGACCACTATTGAGCCCTGTCAACTCTCTCTAGGGTTCATCCCCTGCCCTCTCCAGCACAGACAATCAGCCGGGCAGCCGTGCAAACCCAATTTCCTTGCGTACATACTATTCTGATAGGACACAAACAAGAAACCGTCCCAATGGGTACAATTTGTACAATTTATACAATTGAAAAAAACAAAGCAGGTCAAAAATTTGCAGCAAAATGAAGTTAGAGGGAGAAGGAAAAGGCCCAGAGCAAGAGTTGGGTGGCCTCGGTTTCTCATCACAGATCTGCCACTGACTTGCTATGGGACATTGGGTAAGTTACTGCCCCTTTATAGGCCTCAGGTCTCTCATCTATAAAATGAGAGTATTAAATATAAAAATAATTGGAAGAGGAGGAGGAAAACTCTCCTCCTTTATAAGAGATTTTAAAGTTTACAAAGGGTGCAGATTTTCACAATCTAGCCAATAGCCTACAGATGCTCAGATTCCTTAAGAGTCTAGCTAATATGGCAAATCTTCAATAAACCTTGTTTAAAAAAAAATAAAGTTTACAAAGCACTTTGAAAAGCCCTTCAAGAATGATCCCTGTTTTACAGATGAGGAAACTGAGGTCCAGAGAGCTTTAAGTAACTTGCTTAATGCTACACAGTTGGTAGGTACTGGACTCCAAGGCCAGATGATCTATAATGTCCCTGTGAACTCAAATAGTCTATGATTCTATGGCATATCACAAGAGATCAGGGGACAGAGAACCCAGGGGTTCTGCAGCCCATGCTATCTCCTGACTCCTGGATGAACTCTGTTGATTTTCTTTCTTTCCAAACCCCCTTCTCCTCTATTTACAGAATTCGGAGTGTTCCTGCCACCCTCTCCTTGGGCCTCTTGGACCAAACTTTCCCTGCCTCAAACACCTACCCCCACTGGAGTGGGAAGCCAGAACTCAGTCCATGGCCCCCTGATCCCAAGGCCCAGGAATGTCTAGCGATCTGGGCCTACAAGACAAGTCAGGAGGGAGTGAGAGGGGAGAATGAGGGAGATATGGAGCTATATAGTGTAATTTGTAGAAAGCTATTGGCTTTCTCTGAAGCCCCCAATTCCTTCTGAGTGAGGGGTTGGGGGGCTTGGCAAGCTTCAGCAATGCAAAGGCATAGAGCATATTTTGTAGGGGGTCCTGCCCAGTGTCTCCCACTTCTCCTATCCCTTCAGCAGGTTTCTGGAGAGTCTCAAGGAGAATCTGAGAAACAGAGGAGTCAGGCACAATCTCAAGTGGCCCTTAGGTGAATATAACCTCTTCATTTCACTGAATCATAGATTATTATGGGTGAACATGATCTTAGAACATGGAATGTCAGAGCTGGAAATGACTTTAGATCACAGCATTTACCTATGGTGCATCATGAGACATAGCATGGTAAAGCTGGAAAGGACCTTTGGAACCCTGCTGGTCCAACTTCCTCATTTTATAGATATGGAAACTGAGGCCCAGGGAAATAGAGCTACTTCCCCAAAATCACACTAATTGTGAGTGACAGGATCAGAACCAGCATCCAGGTCTCCTGACTTTCAGTCCTGTGAAGGTGCCAAGCCACTTTCAGTCTCAACCCGTAACCCCGTCCTGAAGGGGCTCTAGGCCCTTCCCTATAGTCCTCACCTTAGCCTGCCCTGGTCAGTCTTCCCAGATTGTGCATGAGGTGAAGTATGGGGCTGGAGTTTTCCATAGGAATAGAGCCTCAGTCATCTCTAGCTTGGGACCTAGAGGCATTAACCATAGAGTACCTGGATGGAAGGACATCCCTCCTCTTAGAGGCAAAGGCCTACTGTCCCCAGACTCTGGTCTCCTCCTCTCCCTCCCCTCAGGAGTGGGACTGTAGGATCTAGGTCCTAGGAACTGGTATCAGCCCAAATATACCTCTCCCTATAAGTCATTACTAGCTTTACCTGGTGGGGGGAGGGCGGGGAATGAGATGGGGGAAAAGATTCTGATGAAAGCAAAAAATAGACTCAGTTTCTCCCTACCAAGCCCTTAAAGACAGGAAGAGCCCAGGAGATCATCTGGTCTGAAGAATCACTGGGAAACTATTTACAGAATTATGCAAGGATCTTTAGATCTGGAAAGATCCACAGAAATTATGGAGTCCAAATCCCTCATTTTACAAAGTAAACTGAGTCCCAGGTAGATGAAGTCACTTGCCCAAGTTTATCGGTAGAGCAGGGATGAAAACCCAAGTCTCCTGACTCAGGGAGCGCTTTCTACTAGGCTGTTACTGGAGCTCACCTTATCTCAGAAGCAGAATGAGTCTGGCGGGTGTATTCCCAGATGGGGTAGGTTGGATGAGGAGAGGTAGACCAGGGTTCAGAGATGGTGGGCTCTACTCGTCATTCTCTGGCTGTGTTCTGAGAGACCAGCAAGAGGCTAGAGACTAGAAGGGAGGAGAAGATGGAGGCTGGCCCTCCAAGGAGGAGGAGACCCTGCCAAACTGACTCTAGCCCAAGAGAGAGGCAAAGAGGGGCCCCCAGAACCACCAGTTAATGAAGGCAAAAGAACTCCCTAATGGCAGAGAGAGGCCTTTCACTGGAGAAGGTCCTGGGGCAAGTTGTGGGGACTAGGAAACACCTACTTGCCAGGCTGACGACAGAAGCAGCCAGGAACATCGCGATGTAGAAGGCTCCCTCCATGCTGTTCCTCTGTCTGTCTGTCCTCGGGACCTTATCCAGTGTCCAGAGGTAAGGTGGCCGGGGGCCTCGCTGGATGGCGTGGGTTGTCCTTGTGACCAAAGGGGCAGAGGCAAGGGGTCCGGCAGCTTCCCTGCTCCAGCCTTATCAAGGGTGGGGGAAGTGTGGGGGGGAGAAGATGGAGGAAGAGGCAGGAAGGATGGGATGGTGTGGGGGGGCAGGGGAGGGTGAACCCAGCGGGGTTGTGAGGAGAGAGGTTGTTAAAGAGAGAAGGAGAGAGAGAGCTCTGTCCTCAGGGCTGGCTGGGGTAGCTGACCACAGGCTGGGCACTCTCTGGAGTGAGCTGCTCCCGAGCAGCCCAGCCCGGGGAGTGACCTGGGGAGGCAGGAAATGAGTTTCCTTAGAGGAGGGGCTTTGGGGCGGCTACCAGCCAAAGAGAGAGAGGAAGTGCTGTTTGGAGTCTGGGCTTGGGACTGGGGGGCTGTCAGGGCCTGACAGAACTCCTTTACTCCCCTCCCCCCACTCCTATCCCACCTCTCCTCTTCGGCTCTCTCCAGCCTCTGGTGATGGGGACTGGCACATCTGGCAGGAAACATCTGGTTCTGTCAATCAGCCCCTGAGAAGTGTCAGTCCCCAAGAGGGGAAATCCCTGGGTGTCCCACTTTCTGGTCAGTTGAACTTATGGCCTTATTGGGGGCAGTGGGGGTAAGAGCTGGTGGCCAGTGGATCAGAGGGACAGTCAGTACTCTTTGAGGAAGGATTTGATGCCTTTCTTCTCGGGATCTCAAAGCACTTTTTAGAGAGTGATCCTTGGTTGTCCATTCACTTATTCAACAAGAATGTATTAAATTTACCATACAGCTAATCTGATATTCTGTGGTCAGTGCTTCTGCCCTCTTGGAGTTTAATACCTAGTCAGGGAGACAAGACTCAAACAAATACTTGGTATGGTTAGAAAGTAGTCCCAGAGGTTATCTGATGATTAAGGGCCAGAATCAGTGTCCAAAGCCCTCAGGCATTAAAAGTTCAAGAGAA